GGGGAGGAGGTGAATAGTTTCATGACACCACGAGGATGTCAATATCGAAATTCGAAAAGCATAAAATTTAAAAGAAAATATATCGAAGATTCGAAGATAAATTAAGGTTCGAACAATGTGAATGTGAGTCTTAGAAATAGACAATGAAATCGTGTTGCCATTGTGGGGAGCACAAGACAATTTTTTGTCCAAATTGTGGGAAGACGCTGCTCACCAGTAAGTAAACTGTAACATTGTTTAAATAATTATGTATTTAAAATATATTATAAATGCAAATGCATGGATGGAGAGGTTTATATTAAATAGGGAGTCAAAGTCGAAGTGACTAACTCCGAATCTATAATGTGCTAAGGCCATAGGAATGAAAGCATTAGAATATACTGTCCACCGCCCGCGTCAGTTCAAAGCCCCGCACACAAATTTTCATTATTTATAAAATTTCATTATTTACTGAAAGATTCAGGTATTTTAACATTGTTTGTTTGGTAAGAGGTGGTTTTAATATCTGTCTGGATATAAACACAAGACACACATCTAAAAACTCACAGGCGAATATATAAAACGTTGTTGGGAAAACCATTGACTTACATGCACATTGAAAGGGAGTCTGTAGTCTGTATTTTCTGTGGGCCATAACCATGAAAGTTGCTTGCAAAAGTGTGAATTTCATGTTTGTGAGAAAATATATTTATCCCCGAGCCGACGGCGCGGGTGCTAATTCCCCCCGGCTATTTACACCCGGGGAAACGAAAGCATTAGCGAAGTCTAAAGTTCATCAAATGTCGCGGGCGTGACCAACGAACTTGAGTGGGTGGTCATCCTCACTGATCTCAAAAATAAGGCTGATTGCTTGTGGGATTGGGATAAGCAAGATTTCAATTTTAAAAGACATGTATTTGGAAAATCGTTTCGTATACAACAAGCTTGAAGCAATTTTGTTTGAAGAAATGAGAAGAATTGATTTACTATGGTAAATCGTGAAATATACGGCAAGTTTGCTCTGAATTTTGTTGCTTTAACTTTTTGCCTAAAAACATGAACTGTTTTCCTTTTCAACGAAGCTCTAAGTTTCATAAATTACCGTTTAATTTGAACAAATTGATTTGAAGACTGAACTAAAATTACCTAACAATTTGTTTTGTGTGTAAAACAGTTTATAGGCATATGTGAAATGTACTTTAGTTGAATGAACATTTCAAAAATTTCACGAAGCGTTTCAAGTTAAATTTTACATTAAATCAAAGCTCACAAAATGCAAAATAATACACCTACAGTGTATATTTCGGAAACTTATTGTTGTATAGTTAAAAGTACAAATCTTTCAACTATTTTGCAGTTTTGTACAAAAATATGAAAAAATTAAAAATTTAAGACATCGTGTTGTCATGGCAACACTTGAGCGCGAGCCTGCGTTCAGTGTTGGCCATTTCTGAATACTTCATGTTAATTTAATGTTTGGAAAATATTGGCGAGGGGTTACTTCATGCATGTATTTCTAGTATTTTATGTATTTATTTATAACAATGAGTCAAGTGGTTTGTTTTGGCGAGCCAGCAATCCTCCATGTCTCGTGCAATGAAATCAACTTGGCAAAGTGAGCTAGTTATCGTACCCAGGGTGGCTCGCATACATATAAACATCCCCTTAGACAGTAGCTATATAAAACTCCAGATTTTTCAATGTCAAACAATGTCAGTGAAACAATTAGCCCAAGTGCACATTATAGTTTTGGAGTTAGTCACTTCAGCTTTGACTCCCTATTTAATATAAACCTCCCCATCCATGCATTTGCATTTATAATATATTTTAAATACATAATTTATTATACAATGGTACAGGATACTTACTGGTGTGCAGCGTCTTCCCACAATTTGGACAAAAATTTGTCTTGTCTGGGAAATGCTCCCCACAATGGCATCACGATTTCATTGTCTATTTCTAAGACTCATTCACATTGTTCAAACCTTAATTTATCTTCGAATCTTCAATATATTTTCTTTTAAATTTTATGCTTTTCGAATTTCGATATTGACGTCCTCGTGGTGTCATGAAACTATTCACCCCTCCCCCCCCCCCCCCCCCAGCTAAATAAACTAATTTTAGAAGAGGGTGTTTTGTATTTTTAGAAAACAATGTTTATTTGCACGGGTAAGGTGATTGTCCCTATGCAGAACAAGTGGGTTTGAGGGTTTAAACGCGTATTTCTCAGAGAAACGTTTGTTCTGACATGCAAAAGGTCCGTTTCTGCCAGACACATTCTATTGAAAAGCTTCGTTTATTTATCATTTGTACTGACATCGTCAATTTCCACGCAGCACAGTCGCATTTCCATGCAGCACAGTCGCATTTCCATCATTCCATGCAGCGCAGTCGTGTTTCTATGCAGCACGGTTGTGTTTCCTTGCAGCACAGTCGTGTTTCCATGCAGCACAGTCGCATTTCCTTGCAGCACAGTCGCGTTTCCATGCAGCAGAGTCGTGTTTCCATCACTGAGCTATACTACATTTCTGTAGGAGGTGCTCCTATCTCTCTTCAGTCAAACAAGTGTCTCTAAAAACATGGCGGATTTTCACGTCTGCTGGCGCCAGAATGACGCCACTGGTCCTAAATCCTCGTGGTAATTACCACTGACCAACCGCGATCCTCAGCTTCAGACGACGATTTGAAAAAAGGCTGAAACTCTGCTGAAAGTTTATATAAAAACAAATCAAGAAAGGATGCCGAGTTTTGGCACGGCTTCATGATGCCACAATTCTTTAATATCAAGAAGAAACACTTCTTTTTACCGGTAAGATGATTAAAACTTTTTTCTGTGCTTCATTTGTACTAAATAAATACCGCTTTGTAAAAGAAAAATTGGATACGAAATTTACAAATATGTCCTCTCTGTACTTTGTGTTTTATTTTACCATTTGGGCAGGGTATAGTTTTTGTTTTCCTTTGGAGACCTTACCCAAAGATCCAACATCAATTTTCACACACAGAATTGTAACAGAAATGCCTTAAAATGATGGACAAATGTCAAGTCACAAATGATGTCAATAGTCCCAACTTGTCCTAGGGGTTTAATTAATATAGTCATAGGAGGCCCAATATATGGTTGTAATGGGCACAAAAAAATCAAAACTGTTCCTAACAAGTGTCTCTGTTATGTAGGAGTAAGTGTTGAATAAAAGCTTGCAAGTCACGTTATAATTTTGAGTTGTGATTTTAATAGACAACTTTAATCTTTTTCATGGCTAACATAGAAGGCCCAATAGATAGTTGTACAAGTAAAGTTCATAGTTGATATATAAAAAGGCCAGCAAATATAGACATGAATTTTTCTTGGCGAATATCAATTTATGAAATACATGGGAAGGAATGGATGCCTATTTCACAACACTCTAATTTCTATATCTGAAATCATGTAATGACATATTTTAATATTTGAAAGAAAAAAGTAATATAATGTTCAATAGCATCTACTAGACTAAATTATATAGATAATATAGTATGTGACTGATTCACTGATTGGATGTATTCTATCACACTTTTCCAGATGCCAAGAAAAATCCTGAGAGTGAGATGTGTAGAAAACTTGAAGAAGAATGCCCTAGCTGGTTAAATTTTATGCCGCAAAGGGGAATCACCTTGTTCGAAGCAATTAGTATAATATTCCGCTTAACCCAGTTGAGTGGTAGCTAGCACTCTAGCTCTCCACCTGACGAGTAAAATACTCTGGCGTTAGACAGAGTAAAATGGGTGCATCGATCAGGGTGCATTGCCACTTAAAGGGTTAACTCTTTGAGCACCAGCACTCTCCCCTTCACAAATAAAATTGTCTGCCATTAGACAGAATAATAAAGTAGGGTGCATTGGGGTGCATTGCCACTTGTCAAAGGATTAACAGTATGCATAGGCATAAGGCATATATATACTGGTCAGTCTATAGAGTAGTGCCAGAGCTCTTCCCTTGCATTGACATTTTTGTCTGGCATTTGACATGAAAATTATAGGGGGCCACAGCAACTCTCTTTTTCTCTCAGGGGGGAGGTTACACTCACAAATGCATAATTGAAACAATTGGCTAGTTTGACATTATAATTGTTATTGCAATATTTTCACACTGATTTTGTAATTTGTTAATTTTATTTTTAAAATTAATATGAAAATAATGTAATCTAATAACTGTGACCATAAATTAATATACTGTAAATAAAATGGTATATTATGTGGATGGCTGGATGTAGTTAATTAAATTATTCATCAACAATTTGTGACTCCTCTTTCCCAACAAGTTTCTTTAGTTAATGGTGCTTTATTTCTGGAAAAAAGTATGTGAGAAATTAAAATTACACTAAAACAACCAAATACTTTATATAATAATTGTTGTGGTTATTGTTCGACACTCACAGGATCCCAACGTTTAACTGCTATTAATCCAACACAATATTACACATGATTGTGTACACATAACATTCTTGCTAACAATAAGTTTACATGAACCTTGCCCACACCCGACCATAACCAACTGGCCCTAGCTCATCCTAACTGGTAAGGCTAGGCCAGGTAGAATGCTCTGGAACTATGCTACTAACAAGGTGATCGATAGTCTTGACACTTTGACTC